AAAAAAAAAAAAAAAAAAAAAAAAGACTGTAATCTATCCTAACTGTTGGTTGTGAGACAGTACAGGGTGCGAGTCTGGGGGAGAAAAAAAAAAAAAAAAAAATCATTGCAAATTATGTTTGTGCGAGCATGTTTGTACAATTTTAAAACCCCTCTTTAGCCCTGCTGAAGACAGCGCTGATTAATTTAATTTAAGCAAAGCAGATTTAAATGTATTCCACCTTCCCTCCACAGTTTGTTGCCGTCAACACAGACTACAAGAGCCTGAAGAAGGACAGACCCGACTTCTAAAGGTCCTCCAGGCACGTCCAGGGGCACCAAGTTCAGGAGGACCTCCACTTACAGCTGTCACCTCACCTCATGTAAAACTTTATGCTCATGTAACCCTGTGTGTGCCTCTGCAACGTCAACTCTGAGTAAATAATACAAAAAAAGAAAAACATTAAAAGATGGTTCTAAGTTTAGAGTGATCTTCTATATTTCGTAACATTCAACTCATCAGATGGTGCTTGCAGAAGACGGTATAAAATTATATGTGCTTTAACAACCTTTACCTTTAAATTAAGAGTTTTGCACATTTCATTCACAGAGAATTCTTTATTAAAATCTAAATGAAATCAATGTATATTTGCTTAATTATGTTGCTTGTTGTATTTATAGTGTTTAGTTCGCTATTCAGCATTAATAACCAATAATTTTCAATAGCTACTCCTGACTGTGCTTCACCGATACATGCGCTCTATCAGACAGTTTTAATGCTAGTTTGATTAAAACATATTATTTCCTCTGTCTCTCTCAGGTGCCGCTTGTCCATTTAATTATTTTCTGCAGTATTCAGTTTATGATGAAGTCAGTTATAAGGTATTAAATCAGTAACATTCGTTTTGAGCAGCATGACTTTCTTCCACAGAAAGGATCAAATGATCGGAAATTAATTAGAATTTTCTTACTGGCCAATTTGGGTTTATACATAAATAAGTCCAAAATTATTTATTCCCCCTGGTTGATGTTTGTTTAAACTGATGTTTTAATTTTACCAGCATGTTTCTTCTGAACAATATTATTGCTTTGGTGTTGCCCAGTCAGACTTAAAACTGAAAGAGCATCTGTGGAGGGAGCGAAGGATTAGGGTTATGGCAAAGAGCCTCTCCAACCTCAAACACTTGGAGCTCATTGCTAAATAAAATCCTCAAAACACCAGTGGAAACATGCAAAAAGCTGCTCCAGATTCAACTAAGCAGAGTTTAATGGCGATGTTTGATGCAATGCCATCAAAGCTGTTTTCATTCATTATTAAGAAATAATTTGACTTGCTATTTTTAGCTTCAATATGAAAAAAAAAATGTTACTTATAATTTTGTAAATAAAATTCTCATTTGAAAAAATAAAAATCTGAATTTTGTGATTCATTTTTGGCTATAACTTTAAAAAGACTAGTGGCCTTTATTCTTTGAAAGCTGGACAGAAAGTAGGACAGAGAAAGATGCAGTGAACGCCGGGGGACGGGATTTGAACTCGGAACCGCTGCACGGAAAACTGTGGCACCAGCTCTACCACTGACCTTCATGACACTCACTAAGACATAAAAGTTGTTCATGTTTTTTATTTTATTTTGATGACTTTTTACTA